CGGATAACATGGCGTTAGATCTGTTCACTGGAAGCGAACGGCTAAAGGAACTAAACTCCGGCTGTTGTGTACTCGTCATCAAAAGAGATGCCCAACAAACCAATGGCTTTCCGTTAACTCTTCCCATCTGTTGCTGGAAAGGGAAGACATCAATGCGCGCCTATATCGCCAAAAACGAAAGGATTCACTTCTTGAGACTTTGTGGTGCAGATGTCACTGAAACAGGTTTGCCATACATTATCTCATATGTGTCGGGGTTTTAATTTGTTTCAATCCATTTCAGACGCCGTCAGAAGTACTGAACGCGAGAGACATAAAGTGAAGAACGAAGCAAATAATGAAGTATTAGATGAGAACCAACCGATAATAACTGAGACAATTGAAAGTCAGACTTGAGATGGGTTTTGAGATCATAATTGAAAATGTTTTAACAAAAAGATTTTATAATTATTTTTATGATTGAAAATAATGAATAAAGCGATTATCGATACAAATAAAAAATAAAGATAACATTTAATAGCGTTTCCGCTTAAGAATATCTGGTTTCCAATTGATTGGATGCGAGTCTTCATCTGCAGTGTCGTCTTCTTTATAGATTTTGATGGTTTTGTCGGCCTCTCCGGTGATGAGTCTGGAACTGCTTTGATCGAAGGTCATGGCGAAGATACCATTTTCCGACTCTATAGAGCCCGGCTGTGCGGCCGCTTGGGTTCGCTGGAAGTTATAGCCTGTCCTCCAGTCCCAGAAGAACATGGATCCGTTGTCAGCTCCAGAGACCAATACTCCGTCAGAATTGACGGCCAATGAGTTGACAATAGCGTTGTGTCCGCTGAGGTTCTGAATGAACTTTCCGTCGGGAAAACACCACTGCTTGAGGTTAGCGAACGAACCCGAGGCGAAGACATTGAGTTTCGGATGAATGACGAGAGAGCGCACACTCTTCTTGTGGTGCGTTAATGTGGTCCGAGCCTTGCCAGCGATCAGGTCCCACAACTTGATGGTCGTGTCGTGCGATCCGGTGATCACCTGAGGATCAGTCGATTGACATAATACCGAAGATATTGTGTTGGAGTGGCCGGACAGGGCGTGTATCTGTGCCTTTGTCCTCATATCCCAAACCCGGGCCACAGAGTCTCTGCCGGCCGTCACTAATATATCAATGGTTGGGTGCAGTGATATGGTGTATACGCCGGACAGGTGGCCGTGATAGTGACGGATCACTTTGTTGTACTCCAAGTCCCAACACTTAACCATCTTATCCTCACCACACGAGAACAGATACGGCTGTCGAGTACTCACTGCCAGTCCTCTCACACCAGATATATGTCCCGTTAGCGAGAGCTTCAACTTTCCGGACGCCAAGTCCCAGATCTTTATGATGCGATCATTGGAACCGCTGGCGAACCACTCGTTTCCGGGCTCAACAGTCAGACAGCGAACCCATCCGATGTGTCCGGACAGCACTCGTGACAACTTCCACGGCGGGTGCCATTCAGGCTTTGGCATCGGCGCCGGCTTTCGCTGCACTATAGTTGTTCCTGAAGATAATACCATCACTTGGGAGGCATTGCTCGGCACAGTTGGCGCCGCTTTCGGCAAATAGCTCTCATTGTATGCGACCATCGATTGGTTGGAAGCGTTCTCACCGTTGCTCTCAATTTCATCGCTTTTATCCTCATTTCCGATGTCTTTATGTTTAGAACTCATGCTTTGGTTGACATCTGTTTTGGGCACCAAATGAAGAATCGGTTGGAACTGATCCTTGGCTTTGACTGCGAGGCACATGTCGTGCGCCTTCTGGTCAATGGGCGGCAACTCGTTGTGATCGCTGATGAAGAGGTCGTGAGTCCTCTTGAGAGACCGGAACACCAGAGTGTGG